CTCATAGAAGATCTACATGTACATAGTGTATCAAGATCATTGGAGAAGTATAATCATTATACATGTATATGAATGAAACTGAAGCCAATCTAAAATAATTATCATAAGCTTTGGTTTTATTTGTTTGAAAAAAAAACCTGTTGTATTAAGTGACCAATTTGGCATTTCCCTTGAACAATTTTAATACAAGATTGACTGTATGTCTTGATAATTGTACAAAAATGTGTTGCACTGAATTATTCATATTGAATGTAAAAGTGTTTCATAATTTGGGAAAGAAAAAAGATAATGAAAAGCATTGTCAATCAGTAAAAGGAACTAGAAATGTGTCATCATGCCACGGATGCCCCCGCATGCAGCCAAAATTTCAGATGTTATAATATTTAGTTCCAAATTTGTTTGCACAAATAATTTTTTTCATTTTAAGTTCAAAGCCCTTAAAACTTTTCAATGTTAACACAAACCATTTTCATACACTGTTCAAGGCACTGAAATTATTCAGTCTAAACCTTTTGAAAATAGCATATTTCATATTTGTAGCCAAAATAATGGCTACATACATTTCAGTGCTGAAACTGAAAGTTCAAAATTTTTACAACATTCAAGAAAGATAAGTTTGTCCAAATCATTGAACCACAACCAAATTCAAACTTAAACTGCTTATTCCTAAGATGTATCTATATTATTCTCAAAGTGAAAGGGACATAACTCTGCCAAAAAGTCATCGAACCATGACCAAATTCAAACTTGACCTGCCCATTCCTTTGACATATCCATATTTGAGTTGAATATGTAACACTGTTGGGTAGATAATGAACAGAAACTGTAAATTTCATATTATTTTCAAAGTGAAAGGAGCATTACTCTGCCAAAAATCATTGAACCATGACCAAATTCCAACTTGGCCTGGGCATTCCAAAAATATATCCATATGTCAAATTTGGAGTTGAATGTGTTGTACCATTGGGGAGATAATAAACAGAAACTGAAAATTTCATATTATTTTCAAAGTGAAAGGGGCATAACTCTGCCAAAATCATTGAACCATAACCAACTTTGAACTTGACCTGCGCATTCCTGTGACGTATCCATATGTCAAGTTTGAGTTAAAAGTGTTGTACCATTGGGGAGATAATGACCGGAAACTGAAAATTTCATATTATTTCCAAAGTGAAAGGGGCATAACTCTGCGCAAAAATCATTGAACCATGACCAATTTGAACTTGACCTGTATTTTCTCACGGACATATCCATATGTCAAATTTGAGTTGAATGTGTTGTACTGTTGGGGAGATAATGAACGGAAACTGAAATTTCATATTATTTTCAAAGTAAAAGGGGCATAACTCTGCCAAAAATCATCGAACCATGACCAAATTCGAACTTGACCTGTATTTTCTCATGACATATCCATATGTAAAGTTTGAGTTGAATGTGTTGTACCATTGGGGAGATAATGAACGGAAACTGAAAATTTCATATTATTTTAAAGTAAAAGGGGCATAACTCTGCCAAAAATCATCAAACCATGACCAAATTCGAACTTGACCTGTATTTTCTCACGACATATCCATATGTCAAATTTGAGTTGAATGTGTGCAACCGTTACTAAGATAATGAACGGAAACTGATGATGACGGAATGACAGAATGACGGAAAATGACGGAAGGACGGAATGACGGAAGCGACGGAATGACGGAAGACGGAATGACGGAAGGACGGAAGGACGGAACACGGTAAACACTATATAGCCCGGCCATTTTACATGGCGGGGGCATAAAAATAGAAATAATATTTATTACTGTGATAAAGAGACATTGAGAACGTCATTATTGTAATAATCTATCAATTACCAATCTTTAACTGTGTTCAATATTGGTAAATCACCTCCAGAAATTACTGATGGTTTATGCCATTGCTTGCTTGAAAAATTAAATGTTAAAAACTTAACTAAAACCTTTCACTTATAGTCTGAAATGTGGGGGTTTTGATTTTTGTAAAAAGAAAAATCAACAAACGCTGCACAATTTGCTTTTAAGAAAATGGGGAAGGAACCTACGAAAAAATCAATAAAACTTAAATCTGACTGCTCAACTTGTAAGTTGTGGAAATGATAATAAATTTTTTACAAGGCTATATTTGGGAAATATCAATGGGCATTTACTAAAATTAATGAAAAAGAAATTCCATAAGAATACATTATTTAATCTTCAACTATATATACCTTAGCTTATTTAATTTACAAAATCAAAAAAAAAATACTTTAAAGTACAAAAAAAGAGCTGTCACAAAACTTTAAGGGTACTCTTCCCATGTGGTTTCCAAATTTCTCACTGTTTTTTGTTAATGGTTAGATAATTTGTTTCCATGGAGCATTATGCTTTAAATTGACTGTTTTTAATATTTGTAAAGAAGTTTCAATCGTGCAATCATTATACCAGTAATGGTTAAGTGTTTTTTGCCCTTCAAATTTTGTAATTATACTACAATTTGCAAGGTTTTGGGGTGATTTAAATTAAACTGTTCACAACACGAAATAAACAAAAGGGGATCAAGAAAAAACTAAAGTAAAAAAATAATTATTGAACAAAGGATAAAAAAATTTGTAAACTTTCTTTGAATCCCCAATTACACACAAAACATTGAGAGAAAAAATCAAAAAATTTCAAAAGGGTGAATAGTGAAAGAAGTTAACAATACTTTTTTGCTTGCTTTTTTGCAATACATTCACCATGTAAAAAAATCTTCATTAATTAACTAAATTATATTTTTATTAAAATTTTTTCAATTTTGGAATAATTTGAAATTAAATGTATTGGGCAGTCAATTATAATTTTAAAAAGTCTTTAAAAAATTTTGGGTTTTGATTTTTTAAATCAAATTTTAAAACAATTGTTTTAATATTATTTACCCCAAATTGCGGGGGTTGCCCCATTTTTTTTTATTAAAGGAGTTTTTTATGGGGCCCTTTGGGTAGGGGAAACTTTAAAATTTTTAAAAACAAAGCAAAACAGAGTTAAAAAATGCATTTTGGGGCTTTTTTTTTACCCAATTTTCTCCCCTGTTCAAAAAATTTTTGTCCTTTTCTAAAAAAGGAGTTTGGTTAGAAAAAAGGGGGGAAATTTATTTGGTCTTTTAAAAATCAATTTAAATTTTAAAAAAAGGTTTTTTATAAATTTTTGGGTGTTTTACCTTTTGTACTTGTTTGGGCAACATTTTTTCCCTTTTAATTTTTTTAAATTTTATCCTCGGAAAATTGCCCCAAATTTTTGTTCAATTTTTAATTTTTCTTGACTTTTAGAATTTTTTAAATTTAATTAAAAAGGGTTTTTAATTATTGAGAGACATGAAAATTTTTAAAATTTTTTTCCGTATTTTGGCATGGAAAAAAGGGGGTTTTAGGGAATTTTTTCCCTTGTTTCCAGCCAGCAAAATGTACACATTTTAAAATTTTAAATTCATTTGGGCCATTTGTAATTTTTTTTTGCTAAAAATTTTTTGCATAATTTGGGAACTGATGCTTTAAAATAATGCCCTTTTCTATTGATGCCAAACATCAGGCCCCCCCTTTTAAAAAAAAAGTTGGGTTTTACGTTTCCATTTTTTAAAGCTAAATTTTATCCCGGAAATTTATGATTCACCTTTTAATTAAAAAGGGTTTTCAGTAAAAAGGTACCTGTTCCCTTTCCCTTTCAATAATTATGGGAAAGGTGAAAGGTATTTGGTTTTTCAACCCGTTAAACTATCACTTTTTTTTATAAATGAAAAATTTTTTTTTAGAAAATTCAAAGAAATGTTAAAAAAAACCCTTGGGAAGATCTCTTTAAAAACCTTACAATTTCCTTTTCTCAGATGCCAAAAAATAGATTCATGTAAAGGTAAACCTGGTAAAAAAATTGGGTATTTTTGTTTTTTATTAAACAAGGGGCAGGGTTTAAAGATCCTTTAAAAATAGTCTGCATAAATTTTAAACCCTAAAAATTTTTTAAAAGAACATTCATCAATTTACACCTTTTTTCCCTAGCAATTTGAAAATTAATGAAAATTTTTGACTTGAAAAACTTGAAAAACTACCCTAACTAGGGGCTTAAATCAAATGTGTTTTTTTTTTGTAAAAATACATCAAAAGAAATTGCTATATCCCGTGTTTTAAATTTTTTTTCTAACTTTTCAAAATTTACTTAGGGTGTGAGAAATTAAAAAGGTTTAAAAGACTGGAGAACATAAACATCTAAAGCAAACACTCATTGTTAAAATGGCATAATAAAAAAAATCAAACAACAAATATAAATATAAAACAATGAGAGAATGCTGCAAGCAGTAAATCTGAAAAACCAATTCCCATACAATAAATGTTAATATATAAGTTAGAGTATGAATGTGTCACTAATGTCTGCTAATGGCCATATCACATCATCAGCTGAACTATATTATACATAGTTCATCAAAATGGACGCCTATCTTTAATCTCCTATTTGCATTAAATACAATTTATCTGCAAGCTGTAAGGTCAGGTACTGTTGTATTAATATCATATTATCATTAATGAAATCTATCATATCTCTTTCTCTCTTTATATTATTCCTACAAAGAAAAATAATGTACAAAAATCACAAAAAAACAACAAAAAAATCAAACAACCCCAACTTCATTGTATGTTTTCGTCAAATTTGTTCAATATTACTCACTGTTAACAAGATGCTCCGCAGGCTCATGTTGATTTTTCCATACAGAAACAAAGTTTTGTATACAACATCATACACTGTATTGACAAAATGTTGAGATAAAAAGAAGCAAAAACACAGTGGATAAAATGAAATCATGATACCATGTCTTACAATTACAAGCACCTGCTACATCCAATCACTGTTACATATGTTTTACTGTAACTTGTACTTTTCTTTCAAAAACAGGCAGTAGACTCATTTATCCACTGTAAAGAGTACTGGTCAGCTGGACATTTGACCAGTACTGACCAGTAGTTACCAGTAGAGACTTACCATCATCCTCTATTGTGTTACTACTGTCTGTTGACTCTTTAATACCGTCATTTTTCTTCACCATGAGACTGCGGCCTGAAACACACAATTTAATCATTCACATATTTTGTAGCAAATTATCAATGTTATTGACATTATCAAATGTCATTTTATTTTGAATAGGGCCATCCCTAAGACAGTATTTAAACATTTAACTTTGCTGTTGCTGCAATCATCAACAACAATTCTTCAATTTAAAATATTAAATAGTTTATAATAATACATTTATCTACAAGAATAATAATCATGGCATTTTGAAGCAAGTATAAGGTCCAGTTAAATTACAATTATCTTATTCATTCATAATGAAGTCACTTTACCAAGCTTAAGCTGCTCTTTATAAAATAGTCTTAATAATGAAAGTACACTTAAGGAAGTCAAAATTTAAAAACAAAGATGTCATATGTCAAACAGATATAGAAAGTAAGATGCCTGATTAAATTAAATCTATTCATCTTCTTTATTAGAGAAACAATTGCTTTCAGCATTTCAATGTCTGCTTTTTTCCCTCCTGTAAATGTTAAAATATTACTTTGTATAAATAGTTATAAATATTTATATATTAATATTCATAGGTTTTTGAAACATTGTTACCTGGCTGCCTGTAAAGAAATATATCAAAGATGATTTCAATAAAAATCAATAGAAAACCATTTTTCTATAAAACTTAAAATACAGTCAAACGTGTATTAAGCGACCGGGCAAGGGAAACACCAAAAACGGTCGCTTAATGAAACGGTCTCTTAAGACAGTCAGCATGATATAAAAGTCAAAATTTATAAATGACATCTTTTTTATTCGATGGGATTGTTTTTCAACTTCATTTTTATATAAATGTTGAATAATAAATACGCTCCGGTAATCTAAACGGATGCAAATGTAAAAATAACGTTCTGATATTTATTGACAAAACAGTTTTGATCCATTACGTACATGTTTGACATTTTTTTCCAGAATTTTTTAACTTCTCCATTGTTTTTCCTTGTCTCCAACACGAAAACCCTATTAGTGAAGATGTTTCTGTTGTGCATTTTTTCATTTGAAATAAACAAACTACATCTATTTGTTACGGTTAATTTAATGGCTGATCAAGTTCAAGGTCAATTCAATGCAGTCTAAATGTCAACAAGCGAAGCGTATACACCATCTCAGTATGGGCGGAGCGTTGCATTGTTTATCCGATATTATTGGATAATACACGTCACGCGTATACTTAACTTCATTTGCATACTCTGAAACGGTATGGGAAATAGAGTTTTTCACAGGTTTATTGTTGTGTTTTGATTGCTGACACTTGTGACTTAACGAGGTGGCGTTCTCTAAAAACACAATTACTTGACAGGTAAAAGTGGTCGTTTAATGAAAAGATTGATGTCAATTAGGTGGCTAATTAGCGGTCGCTGGTCGCGTTGAGCAAAAGTCGCTTAATACATTAAAGATATAGAGAGAAAATGATCGGGGGGGAATTTAAAGTGGTCGTTTAAGACAAAAGTCGCTTAATACACGTGGTCGCATGGGCAAGTTAGACTGTATAGATCATTTCATTATAGATAAAACAGTTTATATAAAACTGCCCACTATTCATTGTTAGCCAAAAGTTTATTTTAAGCATGGAAAACACATGTATAATTTTAACAAGTTTAGCCGACTTATTCCCTTTAAACTAAGTCTACAAAACAAACTGACAGACTACCATAGAAGCTTTCATAACATGAGATGACCTATTCATTAAAGAAAAGAAATACAGAATGTTAAAGCTCTATAGCTAGTTTCTAAGGAAAAACAAAAATAAGATTCTAGTATCATGTATATTTTAGATTTAGATCATGTAGTTCTATTTGCATTGTATTGTATTGTTTTGAATCAAATGAAAATATGCCTGATTTTAACTTTAAAAAATCCTGAAACAGAGCAAGTTATCAATAGTAAGTCTGTTGACAGGATCTATAATGATGGCATAAGCTAACATTAAGAGAGTTCATGTATGAAAGCCTTGAAATTTCCTGTATTTACCTATTAATCTAATATTTTCTGATATTGTCTGACATGATAAATAAATGACGACTGACAGAGATGTTCAAAGTTACTATTACATCTTAATGCAAATATATTCACTGTTAATACTATCAAGAGAATAAGCCAAAGTTTTAAGCCAAACTTCAAATAGAAAGAGAAAATGAGAACTTTCTTTTAGCTATGAAAAAAATACAGTTATTTTTATAGGACAACACAATTTCAGAAGACAAAGCAACTAAGCTGTACCTAACCGTAATCTTCAAAAACAAACAACATTTAGGTATACCACATACAGATTCTGCTGAAATAAGTAGTTTTAAGTTGACCACTTTTGTATTACCTTATACACAAAAAAATTATGACAGCTTACTGGAAATGAAGTATCATAACAAAATTTATGACAGTTGATTACAAGCCAATAGGCATAATTATACTTAATCACCAAACTCTATTTGAAAAATGATTAAAAACCAAATTCATCAAGATTCTGAGTGACACCAAGATGTAACAGGTATATCAGTTATCAAAAGCCTTGAAATTATTTATATCTTGTGAATCCATACAATTACAATCTATAAATATCATTCTAACATTCTAAGATTAGAATAGATTGACCCTGATGAAGGCTATTGAATAGCTGAAACTTAGTGTTTCATGTGTTTCACTTTCCTTATTCTTTATAAGATTAGAATAGTTTAAGTCACCATATCAAATTTATAGTTCAGGTATTTTAAATGGAGCACAGCATCATTATCCAAGAAATCGGAGCTAGTGTCCATACACTTGACCTTATTGTAAGACCTGACCATTATGTGTAAATCTCAACCCCTAGATGAAATAGCAGATCAAATCTTTTATAAATGTCTGTCCAAGTTGACATCCATCTAAACTTCTAAGAACATACAAATACGTAATGGTTCAAACATTCTTGTAAAACGTGAAACATTTATGTGACAACTTAAAACAACTGCAATCTTATATCATCCCACGCAATGTTAACATGAGAGTAAGTATAAAAAGAAGTCGGTAGAAAATAAATAATTCAATAAATAAAGAAGTTATCCATCCTTGATGACAGGAAACAGACTGTTAATGTTATTACTGAAATATAGGATAGTTCTCTACAATGTTACAAACTTTGACCTTATTACCCAATGCCTCCCCCAAGTCAACAATGTACTCATGACCTTATTACCCAATGCCTCCCCCAAGTCAACAATGTACTCATGACCTTATTACCCAATGCCTCCCCCAAGTCAACAATGTACTCATGACCTTATTACCCAATGCCTCCCCCAAGTCAACAATGTACTCATGACCTTATTACCCAATGCCTCCCCCAAGTCAACAATGTACTCAGCTGCTTGCAACTTAAAAACTGTGCATAGTTAATATAAGGGTTTCTATATTCCACTTGTTTTTTATTTTCAGCAGTTAAAAATCCATTTACATCCAAACTGTAGGTACTGAGACATTACTTTCATCATATGTTATACAGCATGTTAAATAGAAAACAAACATTTCTTAAAACTTTGGGAAGATTCTATGTTTGTTTGTTTGTTTGTTTGATTGGGTTTTACGTGGCACCAACACAGTACAGGTCATATTGCCCTTACTTGCATTATTTCAGGAGGATTAAGGAAGTAGTGAATGACCTCTTCACCAATATTCACATTATTTAGATACACTATTTCTGAAAGTTTGTAACAAGAACAGTGTGACCATTAGGATAGTCAAACTATCCTTTCATTGCTATTTGTTTATCTCAAACTGTCAGTTGCATGCATACACAACTGATTCTGCTCATATATAAACTGATAAATAATATTCACTATATGTTGAAAACTGTTCTTATACAATTATATGATAAATATTCTTAAATGGACATGAGTACTTTCATTTTATCCCCCCATCATCATCACCTATTTTCAATGGCAAGATATAAACACTCTATAATTATAAACATTAAGGGTAACAGTAAAAATATATCTGAACCGTGTAAACAAGAATACCAAATGAAATGTGCATATTTGAAATCTGCAAAAGTTTTTTTTCTTGAAATGCTTTTATTCAAAACTTTTATCAGAAGTTTAATCACATTCTGAATAAGTTTTTAGCAAGTATAAATTAACGGTGACTTCTGTCATACATAATAACATTGATGATGAAGATGTCAGTGATAGAAGGACGTACCAGTACAGGATACATCATCCACTCTATGCTGGCAACATACTGACCGCAGCCAGTCCATTGGTCATAACCAACAAATATACATTACTTTATCTTTTCCTTCCTTTCATTTCTAAAATTAGTAACAAGTGACTAAAACCAATCTCTCAAAAAAATTTCCCTTCTTTATATGAACTTTAAAAGAAAGAATTTTTATATTCGTTTTTCTCCGCAAAAACTGAGCTATTGGTATAGTGTTAACTTGTCCTTATTATAATGAACTGTACAGGCTTTGGTTTTCAGTTTTTCAGCAAAAGTTCTTTTTTTCAATCAACTTGACTGTTCTTTGTTAATGTACATAATAAAGGGCACAACTATCAAAAATTCAGAGATTGATTGGCTAAAAGTAACATCTGGTGAGAGTTCATGACTGATATGGCACTAGGATGCCACAAAAACATAGCATCATCTGTCAATATAGTTTTAAAGATTAATGATACATGTTAAACATTTACTAGGAAATAACTTAGTTCACCACGGCCTATAAATCAGTCATAATCAACCAGAGTTATTGACCTTGAAATGTGAACTCTAATTATGATCTCCATCACATGTTTTAAGTTTAAAAGTGAATGCCTTCAGAAGCCTTGAAGATTAAAGTTACAAAACTTAACCACAGATTTGCAAACTTTTTCCAGAATTACTTGAAGTTAACAAATGGCCACAATCCATTCAAACTTCATGATAGAGTTATGGACCTTAACTAGTGACACTGTATCATGATCTCCCATTTTTCCACGGTCATTAATTATCAAAAAATATCAATATGCCATTACATAAACATTTTTTTCAAACTTAAATAAAGAAAATAAAATAAAGAATAAAAGCAATATGTATCTAAAGATTCAAACCAATTACAAACACAATAAATTTCCCAACATAAATAAATCCAATAGCTCAGCTTTTTTTGTCTTTGTCAAATAACACTATTTCATGGGAAAGAAATCACCATAATAGCAGTAACAATGCAATTCTATCACAGAAATTCTATAAGGCACCTCCCTTTATCCTTTTCAAGTCATGTGACCTTAGAAGATAAGGTTTCATGACAACCGTAAAACTAATAGTCATTCCTATTTGATCATCAAGCTGAGTGATATATTTGTACATGTATATAACTAAATTGATATCTGGCTGCAATATAATTATCTCTAGTATTGAAGTCCTATAGAGTTTATTCCAGCAAGTATATATAACCATGTATAGAAATTATGTTAACCTACACCATTCAATTCATGTAATGAACTTCTCTTCCTTTAAATCTACATTTTTGGGGGATTTCATAATCAAAACAGTCCCTAAAATGGAGCATGTAATGGTACAGAGTCTGCCTGTACTATATACCTGAAGCATAGACAAGTGATAGTTGTAACTAGCTGTGGAAAGGTTAATGTTAATCTAGTTCAATGACAGACAATGATTGAACATGTTTATATTTAGAACTACAGTTTTTACAATTCCAATCAATGAGACAGTGGGCTAGCTGAGAGCTGACTTCAACAGTATCAAGCTCACATGTTCTTGTCATTTATTGTATATTCATCATGACATATCTTACAACACAATAAAACAATTATCTTCTATTATCAAATATCAACCTTTGCTACATGACACATAAACAAGTCAGTTTACTGAGAGAAAGACAACAACAGAATTGTGAGTGGTGTTTCTGGCATAAACAACCAATTGCAACAATATCTACCTCTGTTATAAATCTTCAGTTTTGAAATTGCAACAATTACTAGGATATATATTGCAGGCAAATATAATGTTACAATATTGCAATATGGAGTTAAGCATTTGCTTCTCAAAGAAACAAATTTCAGAAAACCAGATAACTGACAAATAATACAAGCTGAGGTATAGTCTTGGTGTTATTACCAAAAGATATTAGCATTTAAGTTTATAAATTGTTCTTATAAGCACCATTCTGATTGACTGCCAAGAAGATGTTTACACCATAACAACAAATCAGATGTTTTTGTGACAAATAAAACAGAATGACAAGTAACATTTAAGATGCTTAATAGTTTTTTATCTTGTATATCATATATCATTACTGCTGTAGTAAGACAACATACCTGTCATAACATATTTACCTGCTATGAATTTGGAACATTTCATTCTTAAATTCTAATGAGACAGCTTACAACAGTATATACAGCTTACAACAGCTTAGAGCATAGACTATATGACATAGATTTGTACACTGACTAATGAAAATGGTGGAACTTGAGACAGAACTCAGAAGAAAGATCTACAACTTCCACGTCTGGCCTGGAATTTTCATTGGTCAATATACAATCTATGCCACTTTCTGACCAATCAAATACCTGAATCACAGATCTGAATTTGAGCTAATAATATCTCTTTATAACCTTGGACTTGTCAGACTACATGGATGCGCAGGCTGGCCTGGCTCTATACTGGTTGGACAAAAGTAAACTCCTTTCATTTCCAGCAGATTAATCAGCTAAGAATCTCCATCAATTAGATCAGGTCTTAATAATACAAAGATGGTTGTATACAACAATGAGAACAGCAAAGGGCACATGTTTACTTCAATCATCAGTAAGGGACCATTTATTCACAAGACATTATGTCCATGCATACAGAAGACTTAATAAATTACCAGTCTTTTGATTCTGTATAAAACCTGTATAAGAAAGCCAGAAATCATTGAAAATAAATAATTATCAAGAAGCACTCAAAGATAAATTATATCAAAGCTACAAAAATATCTGTATAAAAGGGAGGTAAATGTGACAGACTGAATACTGCACAGATGAAACACGGAGAAGAGAGCACAATAAATAAAACATGGTGGAGTAAGAACAATAAGACCAACATTGAAAACAACTTGAACATTGAACAATAACAAAGTTACCTCACAAACAATTTGGAATTCATGTGAATCCTGGCATCTGTATATTTGTACAGTCTCTATATATTTTTTTCTCTTTTTAAAATAGCACTTCAACAATTTCACAATTCATTATGACAACACTGTATGGGTCAATAGAAAACTATATCTCGGTACTTCAAATAGTTATTTAAACACACATCATTTATGCAACACTTCATTTGCTGAAAATTCCAGCCAATGTGTAAAACAGATTTTCAATTTTATATTACCATTATAAGACACATCTAGCTTTTCAGCATTATATGAATGATCATCATCTGAAGATACTTAACAACACTTCTCTATTGTTTTGAAATATCATTATATGCTTTAATGGCGTTTGAAATTATTCCCTAAATAAAGTTGATGGAAGCATTTCTCATTATTTATCCTCCGTTATATTTCTTATGATAAAAGACAAAAGAAGAATTTCTGTTTAACTTATTTTCCTCCCTGCAAAGTTAATAGAAGCATTTCTTATAATTTTTCCTGCTAGCAAAGTAGAGTGAAACATTTCCAAATAAATTTGCTATAATTATTTTGCATGTATTTCTTACTATATTTCCAAATAGCAAAACTGATAGTGTATTAATCCTTTTTATTGAGCAGAAACTGTGATGAAATATTTTAAATATTAAACGTTATATTAACAATTCTTCCACTTATAATGAACATCTGACTTTCATTATATCTTTATATTAAATGCCATTAACGAAGAAGGATGAGGTCAAAACAATATCAGCTCAATACACGAAACTGCATTTCTCAAAAATTCCATATATAAAACAAGGTTACATCTTTAACCTGAACTGATCTTAAATCAAACATAACTTTCATGTTCTTGTGAAAAACAGGTTTCACTCAGTAATGCTTTATTTGGAGAATTACAGGAGGCATAAACATGATTGTTTATGTTGACAATAAAGTAAACCATTATAGTTTGGAAGGTCAAGTTGACATCAAAAGCATCTTATGCAGCCAAAAAGGTACACCTTGACATCTTAACGTTTGATACCATAATTAATTATTCCAAGCATTAACATCCATTGTATGAGATTTACAAACTGTGGGTGAAATAACTTTCAAGTTTTGACCATAAAAGGTATTGAAGGTTGAAGTCACAGTGACCTTGACCTTAGATTTAATGATCTCATCTTGTCTAATTAGTTCAATCATCACATGAAATTTGAAAACTTTATTGATCTCAAACAATTTTCCAAGACCAAGCAACAATGACATTTACTACAGTAGTACAAGTAACTGAACTGAGAACAAGATGGCTCTCATCTGATCTATAAAGATAACCATCCTATATAATTTGAAGACTCTTGGTTTATGAAAAGCATCAACATTTTCAAATTCATGGTCTATCTGACCTTTCCATATGACTAAATGATCCTCTTTTTTCAAGAAATGCATTTATCCCACCAAATGTGAAAACCAAGCAGTAAAAACAACCAAATTTACGTTATATTAAACGAAAATGATGTAAAATAGTTCAAAAGACAGACTTTGCGAAAAGAATACCTCTATTTCAGAGAAGAAGGGGACATTAAATCCCGAACATAATTATCATAAAAAGTTTCTAAATTTCTAAAGGTGCCAGTACTTCATGCTAATTTCTAACAGGTGACTTTCAAACAAAAAATATTATATCTAAATGACAGCAAACAAAACGATACTAGCATGCCAATTATACTCCCAATATTTCTTCAAAATAATAACTGCAACAAAAAAAAGATCAATAATACTGGGAGCTAACTCTGTTCAGGCTTTTAGGCAAGAAATCCATCCAACCAGGTATCTAAGGGAGATCATTCTCATCACACCAAGACCCAGTTACCTGCTTGTTGTTGTTGTTGCTGCTGTCTAGTATCTTGGTGACCCTTCATGAGGGCCGCTGCTAAAGATGCCGCTCCAGCGGCCATTACTGGGACAGAACCAGGAGGGTTTGGGACCATTGTTGTGGGATTACCTGCACCTGATTGAGCCTGAGCCTGAGCCTGGGCCTGAGCCTGATTTTGAGCAGCAATATTACCTACAGCAATACAAAAACCACTGAAACTAAATACACATTAGGGAAAAACTCACCAAACAACATTTACACAAAGAAATATCAAATTACTAAATTATAACAATTCTGAGATATCTATTACTGAATTTGAATGAGATTGAAAATTATAGGTGATATAATGAAAACAATGCACATACATTCATGCTGTTTTATTTAAGAACTAGAATCAAGTGCAATACTAACTGGTTAAACTGTCAACAACACATCATATCTCTGTTTATATAACATATACAACTTCAACTGTCACTGAACGACATCAATTCCAAACAAAGATATCAACATAAACAACATCTCATAACCTTCAAATTTAAACTAGAAAACAATTCCAGAAAAACCTTTGAACTTTATCTCTCTCCAATTTTCAAAGACATCGAAGATATCAAAATATAAATTCCGATAAAAATAAATCTAAGACCTTGCTTTTGGCATTTCAGTCAAAAATGCACAGCCATGCGAAAAAAGAAAGATTGAAATTCATCCAGAGGTAATCATTACAAAATGTTTATAAAATGAACTTCATAAGCCAACAATGAACACCTTTGTTATAAATTGGATTTACACAAAAACATACCTTAAAATTATGAGAGATATTACACATTTCAATTCAGGCTTTTCCAAGAAACATCAGCCAAAACAATCATCACAAAACTTTCAAAGTATCATGTACTACAAGATATCAACAGCAATATAGAAAATCATAAGCAAAGCTTGATTGAGATAAAATATAAATAAAAGTTGAGTATACAAAAATATAAAACTTTCTGACTGATATAAGTTTATATGCCATGTATGTATACAAAAGCAGAAAATGATACAAGAGGGCTATAAAGACCCTTAGGTTCACTAATAAGCATTCTAAATACAGTCCACTTCAACAAGATTGTCAAGAAAGACTGTGCATGGTTCCTTGTTATATTCATGTTTTGTTCAAATTTAGACATAACAAGCAGTGACACTTTTAATTGGTTAATTTTTGAGAATTGCTTTGTTTATTGATCACCAATTTTACAAGGAGCTGGCATGCTTAAAGCGACACCTCATAATAATTTATGGGGAAAATTACTTATGGGAAGAGCTATAACATATATCCCACTGAAACAGCAATGGGATATTAAACCCCAATAAAACTTAAGATGTCATGCAATTTTATTAATAAGATTGAACTAAAATGTACAAACAAATAGGTGACAAACAGTGAATAAGTATCATGACATGTCACATGAAGTTCTTGTGAGGCAAATTTAAAATACTGCTAAGACATGTTAACATATTGACAAACGATAGTATATCAAATACGATTATACTGAAATGTTAAATCTAACTGAAATAAGCAAAGCAAAAGCAGAAAAACTATAATAAGTTGATAAAATTTTCAGGTCAATCATATATCAGCATCCTTGTTTCTTCAATAAACATCCAACAATTATAGCAAGGCAAAAGTGGCATCCATGTTTTAAGCCTTTTTTTGCATATTATTGTCTCTTACTCATAAAAGAATAATACAGCAGTGTCTCAAACAAAATACCACATGAACACACAGACAACTCAACTAAACAATAAATTAAATACCTTAACTTAAAAATCTCTCCAAATGATAATCACACAAAATATCTTGAACTGAAAACATTCACTGGAATCAGAAACAATGTTGCAGAAACAATGAAATAAGAGGATCAGTTAAGTCCCTAGTCACTCACCTGAGGGCTAATATACTATAAAGTGGTCCATTAAACTTTCATAGTTTACAGGACATATTATCCAGTAGATAAAATTTGCAATTACTGTTCATGTATCACAAATGAAGCAGCAAAGATTAGCTAGACCTTTTTTCTTTTTATAAAGAATGACTTTGTTTTCCCTACAGAAGTCTAGGTACCATTGATAACCCCCAGGGCAGGGCCAATTTTTGACCTAAGGGCATAATATGGACAACTTAGGTAAAAAGATTTTGAGAAACAATGATCTCTTAGAAGCATTAATCACAACAAAATTAAATGAAATTGCAGACTCTGTACATGAGAGATAATGAAAAAGTGCAATATCCCTCACACCCCCTAGCTTTTGCTTGAGTGGTACTCAATTTTCAACACATGTAAAAATCATGTAACAAATAAGACCTAAAGATGAACATTACAGTGCTCAGTTGTGACACTTGAGCCATAATTTGAAGATTGATTGCGGTGCCCCACTTTTGCTGAGGGAAATTGTGACCTCTGGGCCATAACATGAACAATGTTTGCAGAGATTCTCTAGATGACATTTCATGTAAAGTCTCTTGGCTCTAGTCTTTGTAGCTTCAGAGAAGATTGTTTTTACTTTAAGCAAATCAAACCAATGACCTATGAGAAGGTTTTTGAAATTTACATTTTTAAAACCCTTTTTAGCCTTTTCAACAATTTTTTCACAGATTATTCCGGTGAAAATTGGTTAAATCCAGTTATAATTTTCAGAGAAGATATTGTTTTAAAGAAATTGCTGACAATATGCAATATACAACAGAAAGAAGGTGATCAAAAAAGTTCTCCATGAGCATGTTGAGCTCTGGTGAGCTTAAAACTCTGTGCAACTTTCAATAAAAAAAAAAAACAACAACATGCAAACTTTTAGAACAATTGGCCCTTACTTTTGAAGGGCAGTATGTCACAACATCAGGAATTCTTACTTCCCTTTATAGGATCTTCAGAATATATATATACACATATATATGCAATGTCGACAGAAAATATACAGCCAGAAGACACCAGCTTCAGTGATCATACTCTCAACACTAATCTAAATTTAGTTTAATATTATTATACAATAGTTAAATATTATTATACAATATCAGTTCTACTTATTGTACAGTATTAAGGAAAGATCTGATGAGACAGAAACTGGTGTCTTGTAGAGCAATGTAGAATATGAATGTGCTTACACACTTACCTTTACTCACTTGATACACAACGAAGGACAGCAACAAAAACAAATAGGTCATACATTATAGCATGCTGGTATATACCACAATGCATTACAACAATTTTATCATTTCTCCAAAACATATATGGCATAAACTTTAATAATTTTATAAAACTGTAGATGTTTCAAATCATTTTTATAAAACTTGAGTTACAATAAATGAGGTAATTTTTATTTATCTCATATTAAAGACAGAACTTCAGGGTGAATCTATTTGATTGGTTTCAAAAAAAAATTGTTTACATAGTAATAAAATCATCATTTCAGGAATGAATCTTTAGACATAAAGTTTATATAATATGTATGTTTTTTTGCAATGAGGCAAAATGCTGCATGCAATGTTTAAAGCACATTTGAAAAATTAAATATCAGCCATTTTTTTCCATAAAAATCGTATTTTTAACTTTATAGTTGTATCAATAGGAAGTATTTGGTATAATAATAAATCAAAATATCAAGTAGCTATTCCAAAAATATGCTTTTCTAAGATATTATTTAACATTCAATAAGAAAGTTGTTATGACATGACTTCCCTGAAGTTAAGCCTCTCAACATTTAGGTTTCAAGTAGAGAAACATCTATAATGTTTTGGAAGAAAAATGTTAAATACATCAAAAATCAGAAAATTGCAAAAGATATTTCTATAAATTGTTTAAAACTCTTCTTGTGACAGCATAACATACAGCTTCATCTGACTTGATCAACCATCAACTTGGCAGCTCCAGCAATGAAATATCTTAATACATAGGCATAAAATGAGCCTAGTCATGACAAAACCAACATAATGCGTTTGCGACCAGCATGGATCCAGACCAGCCTGCGCACCCGCGCAGTCTGATCAGGATCCATGCTGTTCCCTTACAAACCCTATAACAAGTAGAGAAACTGATAGCGAACAGCATGGATCCTGATCAGACTGCGCGGATGCACAGGCTGGACTGGATCCATGCTGGTCGCAAAACTATTATGTTGGTTTTGTTGTGACAAGGCTCAAATATTTCTATGGTTACGTCCATTGCCACTTCAACTGCTTTATCTTAGTTCTATAATTTTTGCATGGTATGTACACATTTCATTCAGATGTATAAGCTATTAAGTCATAAAATATCAAACTTTAACAATACTAAAATATAACTTTGGAAAAACAGCATAAATATTGCCTTGATGATAATAATTTAATAACATGTATTATATTACACATTACCTTTCTTGACATACACATATCTAGGATTACGCAACATTTTGTTATGTGCCATACATGAGATGTTAAAGCAGTATTATTCCATTGTTAACAGTTATATTGAAATAAACACTTGTTAATATAATGTGACATTGAAAGCTCTGCATCTTAGAAAATAATGATTTCTTAAGATTTACAATATCATACTTTGCCATAAGCTATTAATGATTTCAAGGTGGAGAAGAAAAAAGTTTCCTGGAAATATGCAAGGACTTTCTATAAGTCAACAATTGTCTCTGCCAGTGCTAATCTTACCAATCAATTAGTCATAAGGCATATAAAGCTTTTCTAAGCCACATGAAGCAGATTTTAATATTGATGCATTCTTGCAACAGCTGCTGGTTTTAGGTCAATTAATCTAATTTTCAAGACCCTTTAAGTATATTGTAAAGTGACAAGATTTGTTTTATTGCCACATGACCTAGACTGTAGAATTACTTTAACAGTGGCAGAGGATGCCAAGTCACATTAAGTGCATTGTGTACCAACTGGCATGACAATGATATCCATTACATTTCAAGCCCAGTCTTAGAATTCAAAGAGAAATAACTCTTGCAATTTTTTGTTTGATGTACCTTGTAAATAGTCTCCCTTTCTTAAGCATTTTAAACATTTTACATACAGTAAGAATATTAGTAAAATGATTACATAGATCGAGGACGACACAACAAATACGGAACAAACAGTCAAACAGTTAGACAAACAATACATTATGTTCACTTAAAAGCAAGCCGTCTGTGCTTATAGTTTACAAAGCTAGTGTATATTCACAGTATTACACAAGCATTTTACACATTGTAGTAGAGTACGCTATCAATGTCAACTTCACAAACAATACACTCATCAAAGAGAAGCATTTCATTAAAGAAGCGTTGTATTTTAAAACTATATTAATTTCAGGCTTAAAATTCCATTGTGAACTAAAGATGTCAGTATTAGACTTGATCTAAAGTGTAATGTCAGTATTCAAGTTAGATAACTGTAAATATTTCTGCCTAGAATCCTACAGTCAGTAAAAGCAAAGAAGAAATAATAACTATTTGGATATTATCATGCAAATGTTTACATCAGAGTAACTGATTTAGTTCAAGAAATTATAAATTGTATGTGCAAAATACAATAAATGCAAGAAAAAAGATGTATTATGATTGTATGATAGTAAGAGTTATTGCTCTTGCACAGATATATTTTATATAACAATACTGAGTGTACTGTAGTTCCAAATGAAATAGCCAGAGTATCTATGTTATACAAATCTATATTGTTCAAGATATCAGTATTTTACTCACTTGAAAAATTCCTGGTGGCCAGCATAGTCGTCAGGATGGCACCCTGTAATATATATAAATATATAAGTCATGTGACCTTAAGCAAATCCAAAACATTAAATATGTTAAAGCTGGTTTTCAATTATATGTCACCTAGTTAAGCTTAACTACAAAAAAGATTTTTACAGAGACAAATCATGGTTTAATACAGTTGAGTATTATTGGTATTTTAAATATTATTATGAGAAAAAGTACAAATGTAGATATACATACCTGTAAGTAATGTAGAAAATGCATGTTACCATGGAATAATAAATACACTTTTGTACTTTCTTATGATATGTTTGAATAGTCTACCAATACTTACATATTACCTTTCACACTTGAATTTCTATATATATTATAATGTGGTTGTGTGGTTTCTTTGAATTCTTCCTTTTCATCCAGTATATTATAATGTATATAAACTTACCTTTATATTTCAAAGGTTTCGGTATTAAGTAACATGTTACACTAGTAAAGTTCACTTGTACCATTATCCACTACTCATTTGTCTTACACCAACACTGATGAGATCATATCACAAATGTCCAACTGTACTGTTAGGTGCCCCAAGTATCATCTTTTTACACAAAATTGGTTTGGTTTGTTAGTTTTGTTTGGTTTACAGGTCACATCAACACTTTTAAAGGTCATATGATCACTTTCCACCTTTACTGATGAAGGATTGGTGAATTAATGAATCAAACTGACCTTCCATGAGATTTAATATTCCCTTATCTCAATAGGTTACCTTCCTGACATAAAATGGCCATGGAAAATAGTATTGCAATATATGGCAATATTTGACTTGCATATTGGGATAGAAACTTCGAAACAGGTATTAAGTATGATATGATGGCATAGCAAAGGTTTGAACATACTTGTAATACCCAAGCATCCATTTAAGAATATGCTTTGTTTGTGTATAAAGTCATCCAAACAGTTGATCATTGTCTACCAAAACATTGATTTTGCTGTCTAAAGATGGACAATTTCAGAAATTTTAAAACTGGGAAATAATTTTAAATAAGTTTAAACTTATGATTGTTCCTTTCAGAAATTTATGAAACAGAAATATATCTCATTGTGCCATGTTGTGTGAGGTTTTTTGTTTTTGTTTTGCTGTATTTTTCCCTTCCCCTTAAATGTATACAATTTAACTATTAATTTACCCCTTTTCAGTTCTCTGAACTGTAGAAACTAAAATATGGCTGTTAGAATAGACGAGTAAACAAACATTTGTTTTCTCTTTTTTGTCTTATCAACTGATACCCGCATATACATATTATGCTGTCCTAAATTCATACAACTGTATAATAAAAATCAGAAATTTTTGAGCACAGGGTTTTTTCCACTTGATTCTTCAACTAGATCTGTTACACAAAGAAATTCTTTACAGCCTGGTCTTAGAGAAGTTAATTCTCAGCATGTTTTTCAGTTTTCAAATTTTCAGTATGAAAAATGTATATGTATTATAATTATAAAAGATAAAAGATTAACCAATAAAAAAGTTACCCAATGAAGTTGCACCAATAAATAATCAACATTTGAAATTTAACTGCATTTTTTAGAATGTTAAAATTTACATTATCATCCTTCTCCTATGTAAAAATAAAAAGAATGGTTCTTGTAATAATTGATATACCTTTGAATTTCATCAGTTATATCTCTCAAATTTCTCTACATCAATATCTAATAGTGCCAACATGTATATACCATAGATTACCATACATTTATAACTGAAAGATTTCTATACATTTATATCCCTTAGATTTGAAGACATTTATAACCCATAGATTTCTATACATTTATAACCCATAGATTTCTATACATTTATATCCCTTAGATTTCTATACATTTATATCCCTTAGATTTTTATACATTTATATCCCTTAGATTTCTATACATTTATAACCCATAGATTTCTATCTCTAAGATTTCTATACATTTTAACACATAGATTTCTAAACATTAATATTGCTTGATTTTCTTTATATTTATATCCCATTTATATGACATTAATAACCCAGATTTCTATAAATTTATTCTTCTTTGATTTCTATACATTTATATCCCTCTGATTTCTATACAAATATGCTACTTTTATTTCTATACATTTACATCTCTAAAACAGGATGTATAACAATTAAGATTCAACTTGGTAATCATAAAATTAGAATGATTTAACAAAAATGTCACAAATTAAAAGCATTCATATTTTATTTTTGTACAAACAAATATAGAACAAAGTCTGACATTTAGACAGTGTGCTGTATTGGTACTGCCTAACGACAAACACTTAAGAAAGTGAACTATATGGTAATACCATGTATCAGAATTCATATTCTTCATCTTGTTTGTCTGTTTCCTGGTAAAGTATAAGCATTAAACTGGATATTTCCCAGCATTATCTTTCCTTTATCATTATATTTAATGAAGAACTGTACTTATAGTTAAGGCATATGGAGAAAACATTGGATTAGTGGGGGATATCCTGATATATATCTTACAGAAGCAAAAATAGCATCTAGTTATCACAACACACAACCAGAATATCTGTTAGATTAGCTACTCAATTAACCTTTTGTCATTTACAATTAAAGACTTTCTTGTCTACGTGAAAGCTTAGAAGTTGCACGAAATTTGTGTGCTTGTTATGACCAATAGATTACACAGATAATACAAAAACATTATTCTGTTTTTATTATATATGTAAGGTCGAGCATAATTACGTGTTTACAATATTTATATACTAAGTTATATTATAATGTAGAAAATTGCTTATCATATTTAGTGTAGAACTTTTGTAATGGAAATGCCTACCTTATACTCTGTGCAATAGTATAATCACTCAGTTAAGGACTATTTCAGAATTAAATTTTTCAACATTTTCCTGGGTCCCAGGGCGATGCAATTTTACCAGAGCTGTATAGTTAGAAACAATATAGAAAGAGACATTTTGTTTGTTTGTTTGTTTGTTTCATTTTACGCCTTTTCCCCAACAGTATTTCAGTCATATATAACCATCGTTCCTGGAGAGTTACACCAGTACTAGACTACCTTCCTCCGCGCTAAACTACCAAAGCATCTCCCCGGGATCAAACCCATGCCAGAGAGGTAACTGGATTAGAAGTCATCAACTCTAACCCCTCGACCACGGAGGCAGTTATTTTCAAAAGAATTTTTTTTATCAGTAACTGTTCTTTTCACATGGTGACTTCTTTTATGACAATCAACATGTATACCAAGTTTTAAATGAATAGCTTTACTAGTTTAAGAAAAATGGACCTTGATTAATGTTAAAATAAACCTGATTAGATTTTTCCTGTTTTAATGTTTCCAATACTATTGCACTGATAACCTAGCCAGAAATAAAATACTTTGATCATGTTCTGTATTATATAATTATGTATTTACTATGAATCATGTAAGTAACAATTAAATAAATATGAATCTATCTAATCAACTGTACAGACACAATGACAATATTATCTTGTTTTTTATCTACAAGATAAAGAAGCATGAAGCCTGTTAAAAACTAAACTAAAAAGTATTTAAACCAAATTTCAATTCATCAAGCTTAATGAGCCAATGTTGTCTCATTAAAATGAATTTGGAAAGAAATGTAATATAAGTAGGGATTATGACATTGACAAAGTAAAAAAACAACTGAAGAAATAAACTGAGGAAACATTTGACAAGATTAAAAGTTATTATAATGAATTACCTCTGATTCAGTGTTACATCCAAAATATGCAAAGTGTGGATCGATATCTAGCTCTTCATTTTGAAGGCAACAATATCCACCCGACCATTCAGACCCGTCTCCTGAAGGTACCCCTAGTACATAGCCATACTGTGACTGAGACATGGACACATCCAGGTTCAAACGTGACCAGTCCTCAAAGCTAATGTTATATGCACCTCGTTATTTTCTAATTTAAAGTCAAACATCCCATTTGTATAATGGGTTATTTAGTTTGCAGAACTTATAACAAGCTTGTCCATGGTAAATCACTGTACTAAACAACTTCTGTATATCTGGTAGTGCACAAGTCTAATGTAAAAATAGTAACTAATGCCTTAACACTCTCTCTTATTTTGTATGCAATTCTTATTCATGAACTAAATACAAAACTTGTATGATTATTTTTTATTTTTACAACATAATGTCACATGATGATTCATTCAATCAAACCAGATAAAAGATATATCCAGTCCTATAAACCAGTTCACTTGAAAACTGCACAAAAAACCCTCACACCCACAGTATTACTATGTTGTATGACTAATAGAATTTCTAATGAGTATTATCTTAAAACATCAAACAAGTGATTGTCTTTTCAAATTGATCTGTCCAATACAAGTAAAGACAGAGCTAATAGTTCCAGCACTAATTGTTAAAGCTTGCCCCAGAGAGTGAAGGTCTCTATATATACACACATATCAATCACCAGTCAATAACAATAGTAAAACAATTATATAAATACCTCCATTATAAATATATACAATAATTAAGATCGCAAAAATATTTGAAAATCGCAAAAATATTTGCAAATCGCAAAAATATTTGAAAAAGGAAGAAAATGAAATTCATCAATTAGCATAAGCTGTAACTCCATGGATAACTAACATTTTACATAAGAAATTTCTAGCAACAAAAATAAAGCAACATATAAGCCTATAATTGACAAAAATGACAATTTCAAACACTCCATTGCATTGTGTATTCACAGTGTTCTTAGGTTGTTAGGTGTTGAAAAATAAGTGAAAAGGAGTATAATTGTTAACAAGAGCTGTCCGTAAGACAGCGCGCTCGACTTTTTTATTGCTTGCCAATAAAAAAAGTTTTTGCAGTAAAAGGCAATACAAGAATCTCTGTATTTTTAAAGTGAACAATGGCCATGAGCATTAAGATATTTAGTGAAGAATTATTTTACTGAATTGTGTGATACCCTTGAACACTGCAGCAAAGTTTGAAATGTTTAAGTCAAAAGAGGGCTGGTAAGAAAGAAAAAAAAA